CGGAAAGCGAATATTACCCTGATACGCCCTTCGACGGACCACTCTGTAAAACTATTTAACTACATATGTATATGTACACTAAAGTTAAATTGTGATCCGAAACAACAAAAAAAGTTTTAAAAAGTTAGTGTATAGTTACAGGGATTGTAAACTGAGCAGCTTAAAGGTCCCATGTCATGCTTTTCCGGTTATTACCCGTCCCCTTCGTGTGTTATGTAGCTTTTTCTGCATGTAAACGGTCTGCAGAGTCACAAACCCTCAAAGTACACCCTGTAGCGAGTAAAACTCTAACACAGAAAAGACCTGTCTATGCTGTTCCTAGCCTCCCTCTCTCTCTCTCAGCCCCCTCCCCCCCTTCCCGCGTTCATTCGCGCTGTCTCGCTGTCTCCCAGCAAGCAGGAAATGAATCCAGCTCACACTGACCGCTCCAGCAGCGAGCCCCGCCAACACGGCGCCCAGACCCCACGCAGCATTCTCATCTGTTTGTCATTACTGGTGTCATTTTCTGGTTACTAACAAACGCCATTGTAACATATAATCACTGATGTTCCGCTGTAACGGTGGTGGACTCATCAGAACAGAGTGGGCGAGCTGACCAATCAGAGCACAGTGGGCTCAGAGGGAGCCCACAGGGGAGCCCACACAACAAGCCGTGTAGGACAGAGAGTGAATACACATAGGCCTACTATACAGAGATGCTGTATGAGAAACCAATGTGAGTTTGGAACATTGAACAATATAAATCTATTATAGTATACCTCAACAATGGAATTATGATCAGTAGAAATGGCCATCTTTAAGTATTTCCATCTTATGTTACTTTAAACTTATTTAATACATTGATCTGACAGCTGTAGGTGATATTTGTCACCAGTGACAACATGCTGCTTAAATGTTAACATACATTTTTGTGTTTTTAATAATCTTTTGACGTCAGTGAGCATCATTTGCTTCCTATGAACACACACACTATACTGCTGGAAATACACCATGAAGCACCAAAGGTATATTAACTTCCGGTGGAAAATAGTTTCAGTAAATGCATCTTTACTCCGGTTTAAGGAACATTTGCCTAAACCACACCTTCTAACTGTTAAACTTTTATGCAAATATTCAACATTTTTGAAGATCAAATATGAGATACTTGAGACATTTGTTAAACAAAGATTTACGTCTTCAGTGGCAACCAGTGTTCGAAATGGGGGGGGAGCCCAAAAAAAGTGTATATGTGTGTCTCACAGATTAGAAATGTTAAATTTCTGTAAATAAAAGTTCTCGAATTAAATAGTCATTGTTCATTACAGTTTCTGAATATTTGTTTTATATTTGTGAATATTTCTGGGTGTTGCCATCTGTACGTGGCAGCGTTGCATTCTTTACGCTACTTACGTTGCTATGGTTACGGCGGCGATAGCGGCGCGGTATTTGAAATGTTTATATTGATTTTTGTTTAACTCTGGCTTTGTAATAAAAAATATGGCGAAACGAAAACAGCTTTTGGTTTCACAAGCAAAGGAGTCTAAAAATTACAACATGAACCGAACAACTTTTAGTTGGCCGGCTGTAAGCGGCGTTAGGGTCGAGTTTGCCGCGGCGTGCACTAGCGAACCTGACGATGCCCATGGTCTGCCTTTTAACTGGACACAGAAAAGATGCAGTCAGCAGAGCGTGCGTGTGACATATTTAGTAGCAGGATCATGAGCAGGATGTGCACTGAAAAATAGGGCTCCCCCGAAAGCAAATGGGTAATTCGAATACTGGTGGTAACCAATTATGTTGCCTAGGCCTATACAGCGCCATATAGATAGAATAGATATAGAATAGAGGCCTAACAGATATAGGGCCTAATAGAGGCCTATATATTGCTGGTTTTGGTTTTCTCATGCGTTTTGAATGACAACAAATGAAGACAATTGCCAGACTTCGACTTAAATGATCAAAATAAAGCTGGTGTTGAACGATGTCCAACATTGCTGATGCAAGGCGAACATCCCTTATTTGTTATGACTTTGAGCGACATCGTGTTTTATCGTGAGGTAAAAAACAGACAGAAAGCAAAGACTTGTTTCCTATGGTTCATCATTTATTCCAGCATGAGTGCACATACTGCAACATTACAAACAACGCCAGGTATAAGGGATTGTGTTACTGTGGCTCTGAGGTCATAACAACATCTGTAATACAGTGAGAGCTCTGCAGGGCGGAGAGAAACACAACACGGACGAAGAGTTTGTTCACTGATGGCACAAAGTCGAGTTGTGGACTTTACAAATGAACCGTTGTGGTCGTTTATGTAGCTGCACAGGTGTGACAAGGCAAACATAACAACATGAGGCACATGCATTAACTGTTAAATTACTTTTAACCTGGTCACATGACGGAGGCATTATCTGATGAAATCAAAACGTACTTACTTCCTAATACATATTTTAAAAGCTGGGAGTTTTCTGAATCGAGTGTTGCTAAAAAATACATTATGATGCCAATTTCTTATCAAACCGTTACAAGGTGGCACAACACAACAGGAAATGGGACAACATAGTGGTATTATAGGGATTAATAAATATGTGCTGCATGTCATGTGTGTGTTTTCAGTTATTTAAAAATATTGCAGGGATAATATTAACTCTGTTTTGTTATTTATTTAATATTCTTATTTAATATTTTTGTGTGTGAGCTTGTCATTTCATCGTACTGTCATGTCCTTTATGTGCCTGAACTAAATATTAAAAACACTTCTGCATGATGATTCAATTGTGAAATATACATATGGATTCTCACACTGATGTGCTTTAGTGCATCTTCAGGAAACATTAGGACGTCTAACATCTATTTACATTAATTTGATCGACACTACGGATACGTTATGAAATCCAGTGAAGTGCTATCAGTGACAGAGGAAGCATTGTGTGACGTGAAATGACTCTAAATATGGAGGGACAGTGAGACCTGTGCGTTCAAGTGTTTCCCTAAAATCATTGCATCTCCCAAAGGATTCACACAGATAATCATCCTCAACCTGATTGGCTACACTGCAGACTCTCTGCGGGTGAACCAATCAGAGGTTGGAGAGCCTTCATTGGACCTTGGTGACGGCGTCGTGGATGGACTGAGCCACGTAGTCGATGTTGCTGCTGGTCAGACCGCACATGTTGATGCGGCCGCTCGCCATCAGGTACACGTGCCTCTCTTTGATCATGAACTCCACCTGTTTGGCTGTAACACACACCACAACACAGAGAGGGTCACACAGAGAGAAGAAGAAGAGCCGATGCTGCATGCAAAGAATCACTGATTAGATTATTTTGATGTCATGCATCTGCTAAAGAAGGTGGATCAGAAATCAAATGCTTTAAATGTGACATGTGCTGCAAACAAAGTGTTTACTTAATCTTTTTAAACTGGCTCTAGGAATCATGTACACAACTATACGTTTTATGCTACTATGCGTGCTGAATGTTCACAGACTTTTGTGTGTGAGTGTATGTGTGTGTGTGTGTGTGTGTGTGTGTGTGTGTGTGTGTGTGTGTGTGTGTGTGTGTGTGTGTGTGTGTGTGTGTGTGTGCATGCGTGTCTGTGTGTGAGAGTGTGTGTGTGTGTGTGTGTGTGTTTGAGTGTGTGTGTGAGTGTGAGAGTGAGTTTGAATGTGTGTGCGTGTGCGTGTGAGTGTGTGAGTGTGTGTGAGTGTGTGTGAGTGAGTGAGTGAGTGAGTGAGTGAGTGAGTGAGTGAGTGAGTGAGTGAGTGAGTGAGTGTGTGTGTCACTTACGGTTGAGCCCTGTGAAGCTGAACATCCCGATCTGCTGGGTGATGTGCTCCCAGGTCCCCGGGGTGTTCAGAGCCTGCAGCTTCCCCTTCAGCTGGTCCCTCATCAGCAGCACGCGGTCCGCCATCGTCTTCACGTTACCCTTCCTGCAGGGAGATGTGTGTCAATGCACAGGAAAGTAATTGCCAACTATTTTAATATTCTAATCCTAGTTTAGTTATTTTTCATTCAAAAACTGCAGAAAATGTTGTTTTCAGCCTCTCAAAAATGCCTGCTTTTATTCTTTTATCTTAATATTCCCTGCTTTTCTTTGTTTTATATATGTCCAAAATCTTGTTTGGAGCGTACCATTCAGCGAAGAGCTCGGGGCAGTTGAGGGTCTTGCTGACGATGCGCGCTCCCTGAGACGGGGGGTTGGACCAGGTGGTCCTCACGATCTTCTCCATCTGGGACAGGATGCGGGTCAGGTTCTCTCCGTCCTGAGCCACGATGGTGAGGTTTCCAACTCTCTCATCTGTAAAGGTGATTATTTACAATGACTTCACCTGGGGCAGCTCTGAGCTCCTACAGGTGAGGAAAAGGCTTCATTCATTCGACCGAGCCGACGGCATGAAGCTACGTCACAGTGACGTGCTTCTGTTTTTCAAGGTGAGCTAAAGTGGTGAAAAGATGTATAAAAGTAGTGACACTGAAAAAGACTGATAGATGGATCAGTAAAATAAGATTATTATTACATCTTTCATTAAGTTCTACATGTTAAAAGGCACATTTGTGTAAAACAGTATTTCACCTGTTTGTTAATATGGATATAATTCGTGTAACCACTGATAAAAAGTTGTGTATGTGCAAAATATCATCAATCAGTGTGTTTTGCGGTTTATAATGTGAGCAGACACTTGATATTTTATGTTTAATGCAAGTTTAGGAGTGCATATGAATGATAACACATTTATTTTAGTTATTGAAAGTTTTAAACTTACAGGTAGCATCACAAGAAAAATTGGAGATGTGTGAAATGGGACACCTTGATAAGCTCTATGAAGCTCTAGAAAAGGGTCCCAGACTATGAATTGATTTTAAACTTATACAATCCTTGAAGTCCCTTTTGTTTTAATGTTTGCAACACATGTTTAGATTTATTTGAATATATAAATATGTCATTGTTTTTATGCGTGTATGATGTGCACTCACTGTAAAGGCCGAAGTTCTTGGAGAAGGACTGAGCCACGAACAGCTCGAAGCCCTCGGAGACGAAGTAGCGGATCGCCCAGGCGTCTTTATCCAGAGAGCCGGAGGCGAAGCCCTGATAGGCCGAGTCGAAGAACACGAACAGATTCCTCCTCTGGAGAGCGAGAAGAAGAAGATGCGTGAGAAACAGATGAGGAAACGGCACTAAAACATGGCTTGGATTAGTGTTCATTTCGTATCTGGAAATCTGTTCGTCAACCACCTTTATTTCCATGACTAAAACGAGACGATGACGAGACGGCAGTAAACAATAACTGCAACGAAATCAACATGCAATATCGTTGAAGAAAAAGGAGGAGACGAAAATCTAAATAAAAACTTTGCCAAAATCTCTCTTTACTTACGTTGACGAAAAATGAGACGACGAAATATTATGAAAGATAACGTTACATCTCTGATAGTCAGTTTTTCTCCCAGCAGTTCCATTTCCGGTGCTGCGGCTGGGCAGCATTTGAATTACACCGGGCAGCGGCACACAGAGAACTGTCAGGAAGACTCGGGTCTAACTCACGATCTAACGAACCTTATTTAACAGAAAATCAAATGGCAACAACAGGGCTTGGGGGCAGTGGTCGCGTTAACCGAATACACCCCCCCCCCCTTCTTTCGTTCTCCCAATCGTACACGCCATACAGACGTAGGAAGGACATATATTTATCTCACCGGACATCGACCTCAGGGGCGAGTGAGTGAGTGACGAGTTGCGTAAGATTACCACTAGGTTACAGACTCGACGGGTATAATAATGGATTATCGACGGAAATGTTACGATTCCTGTCCGTTCAAAATGAGTGACAACGTAAAATAGTCTAACGCCTTCACCACTGCCTGGGAGAAAAGGGAACGATGTGAATATTTGCCGCCCATTTTCGCTTGCAATGAGCGGAGGAAAAAGCGAATCGCATTGTCTTATTCAGAAGGGAAGCAATGTGGCCATAACACAGCTGGTAAAAACACCACAACCTGATCCTCGATACTCTCTCTGCAAGCTTAATCATTCAACCTTGTTTTTCATGCAAATAAGAACAAGATATAATCTTATTTGTGAAATAAGTTTGACTAAAATGAAAAATTATTGTTTGCTAGACTACCGTAATTTTTCGGACTATAAAGCCGCGCCTTTTTTCCCATTTTTCGAACGCTGCTTGTGCTCATATTTATAACAGGTGCGGGTATAAATCTATGGATTTTCACAGCTAACGTTCTTCTCTAGGGGAACCTCGCTAAATCTCATGGATTTACAGCTTACACGGCCACTAGCGGGACCCTCCTAAATCTATGGATTTTACAGGTTACCAGTCCCACGCACTTTAACCTCTATGGGCTCTATGGCCGCCGCGCCCCCCACCTTAATGCGGCAGCGGCTCCAGCAGGAAAAGGTTGAGGCCGTGAAAAGAGTGAGACAAGGTAGCGCGCAAAAGTAACAAGTTTGGAACCGAGCATGTGTTTATCGAGAGACAGAACGAGAGCAAGAAACAGACAGACATTACGAGATGCGAAGAGTACAGTTCTCGTCCCCCGTACCACTGGTTGAAAACCACTGACCTGCTAGAATCCCTGCCGACGCATACGTGCGCTGGGAGCGCGCATCCGGTTAAGTTTGAAAGTTGAAAAAGTTTGGTGTCTGCAAAACGCTATGTGAGTACAGTTACTAGTTTAAAGCAAGGCACATGTTGTTCTGCTCCGCCTACTCGCGCGTGACTCAAATGCTAACCACTGGAATCCGTTATTTGCCCACAATATGGCAACTTGTTTGTTGAAATTTAATAAAATGGGAGCTTCCTCAAACAAGCCATCTTTCCCCAGACAATTCCCCTCTGTGCTTACGCAACCCTTACATATGTGTAATTAACATTAATATAACCACCTGCCTTCGGTTCTTAATAGTCCATGCGGGGCGCTGCTATTATCATGTACCACCATCATTCAACTTTAGCTGCTGGGCTTATATTCAGGTGGCGCCTCCGCTATATTCCGAAAATTCACCGGTAGTTTGACTGAACATGTTCTATATAGTCTGATGCACTACAAATTAGGTTAGTTGTCTTTGACTAAAAATGCTCAGACTTTTGTCGGACTAAAACTTGACTAAATAAAAACAGGTTAATAGAAAGGTGATAAAACTATCAAGACATTTGGATACAGGACTAAGACTAAATAAAAAAAATAAGATGAACAAAACTCAATCACTAAGACATAGACTGAGATATATGGCAGGAGAAAAGTAAGTATGAGGAGGAAATTGTCAAAAAAGAGATTCCCATAAAAAATAAAATGTGTATTTGAACCAGTTTGGAGTGTGGTTTTGAATACAAAAATTCAGCTCATCTTTTTTGAATAACTAGAGCGTCACTCCCATATTGAACTCCTTCTTTTTTAAATTAATGGCCATGTTTTGCATCCGCTAAACCAAGTTGCTATCAAAATGTTATGTTTGATATGCAAATAATGATATATCTCATTAGATATCTTTAATTGTGAATTTTTATTAGGAGAAGTCTACACACACACACACATATTAAAATAAACGTGCCAATATCGTTAAACGGTATGTTTTTTATGTCCACTAGTCTTAAACAAGTAAGAGGCAGCACATATTAGTCTAGAATTCTCAAAAATCTCCCATAAATGGCTAGTGTCTCGCTTTTAAGTGGGAGGCCTGAACAAGAGCTGAACCTCATGTGACACATCACCCTGCATCCAGTGGTGGATCTGATAAACCTCCAGGAACAGCTGATGTTACCTTCATGATCTCGTGCGATCTTCTTTCCACTCCTCTTGGGTGGGGTCGGTGCGGGTGTGGGTTGTGAGCGCA